CTTTATTCTTTCCTGATGTGCTGTGATTCTCCTCTCCTTTCTATCTCATAGAATTTATTTTGGTGTCAAAAACATAATTGTCTTTTTACAGCACATATTAGGGAAATACAGTGTGAAATGTGAAGGAAAAAAAAAGATGAGAAGAAAAAAAAATTAAGTTGATATGTCCAAACATTTTGATCAAACACTTGTAAGAAATAGGGCAAAATAGAAACTTTTTGTGAAATACCATTCAGTGTTGAATGAATCTGGAAGGAACTTTTTTATTTGCTTTCTATCTTTCCCTTTTCTCTTGCTTTTTACTTTTTTGTCATTTTTAATTCCCTCTTGGGGTGCAGACTACATATTGTTCATGCAGTGAAGTATTATGGAACTAAGAGAGGAATATATTAAAGCAAAGACTAGTTCAGCTAAGTGACCTGCATGATTTTCTTCTGTCAGAAATCACCTTTGCATCATGAACAACTTCCTGAGAAGTGTAGAAGTGCCCAGGTAGCCAAGCACCTTAGTGGGCAAATGTACATAAGAATGACATTATGTCACTGCTCTCTGCTTACACTTTGCTATCACCTACTCTTTGATGATTGACCTAATTCCCTTTAAATGGGCTTTTCAGGCAACTTTTCTAGACATCATAGAACCATAGAATAGCCTGGGTTGGAAGTGACATTAAAGATCATCTCATTCCAATCCTCCTGCCATGGGCAGAGACACCTTTCACTAGAACAGGTTGCTCAGAGCCCTGTCCAACCTGGATTTAAACTCTTCAAGGGATGGAGTAGCCACAGATTCTCTGAGAAAAGCTGAAAAAAAAGGAGATATAGTGGTTTTAAAAGTGAAGTCCTAGAGCAAGTGGTATTCATGATTTATTACTTATTTCCAGAAGTTAAAGGTGGGTCTGGGCTGCAGTTTACACACACACCCCATATGCATCCTGATAACTCAATGGAAAATGGTCTCCATTTCATGGGTTCATCATTAGTGCTACTTTACCTTTTTTAACATTCAGCAGACTGAAATATTTCCTTTAAACCACAGAATGTGTGTGTCTGCAGAACACTGAGCTGCTTTGGATCTACTTCTCAGTAGTAAGAAAACTCTCAATAAACTTAATTTAAGAAAAGATAAAAAACATTTTTTAATTTCAAACTAACAATTATTTTCCGATTAATTCATCCTCATTTCATTTTTTTTAAACATTTCACATAATTTGTTAAACTATGAGTACAAATTTAAGTTTTGTTATTTTTTTATTGACAAGTTGTGAGCAGAGCTGCATTAATGAACTATTGCAGAAAGAACATCTACATTCTTTCTTAAGGCAGAAGAAAGCATGTCTGTAAAGTTTTTATATTTTGGAACTTACTACCATCATATTTATTTCATTTTACAATACAGAGGAAAAATAATAAAAAAAATATATTAGAAAAAGCTGTTGCAGAACATAAGTTTGCAGCTTTGGGATAAATGAGTAATGGCTACATAACTGTCATCACACAATCAGTTTTAAGCCTTCTTTCATGGTGTACATCTCTGGGCTTGGGCAATGCAACTAATTAGAGGGTGAAATCAAAGCCATATATCTTTCTTCTCTTGTGTATTTTTACTTCTTGTCTTTAAATGGCTAACATGCCCTTCTAACTATGTGAAATAAAATTAAATTGCATCTTTGCAACTAACATTTCCATACTCCTGTCAAATAATGTACATGTGCTAAAAGAAAAACATATTAGTAAGTGAAAGACACTGCTGTCAGTTGTAGATAAGAGAAAAAAAAGTCCTTAAGAAACTGCTGCTCTTCATAGCTAGAGTATAACTATGAGCCCTGCTGCTGTTCTAGGAAAAGGAAGGATACAGTCAGAAAGATGATGATTTAGCATCTGGTTTCAGTGGCCAGCAGCATCTTAATTTAGGTGTGCTATGTTAAAAATAGCTTAACTTATATTCACACAAACGTGAAAATTTTGGTATCTCTAATTTTACATTAAAAAAAGCTTTTATTTTTGTTCCTCTAGTGCTTTTCTTGATGGTGTGGTTTTATCAAATTTGCAGAAATTCGCTTAACTGATTCTTCTAAGTCCAAAACCAAATTGCACTCTTGATACCCTAATTCTGAAATGACCTTTAACTTTATAGTTTTGTGTCTATGACCAGAAGAGTTAAACACAATATTCCAGAAGCAGGCTGAAAAAAAGTATTTGATGATCTTCTGGGAAGATTATTGATATATACTTTGCCATAAATACAAGAGCCCTGAAAAACCTTGAAGGGCAAAAGGCAACTCTTTTATTAATATTTGCACATTGTTCACACCAGTTTTGATTTCCACAACTTTTTCAGATTTCCACAGACCCAACTAAAAACTTTTATCTCAGCCAGAACTCCAAAGCAAGAAAATTCAGCCAAATATATGTTTTCTGAATTTCACAAAATACTACTAGACTTACAAAGACAGATTATATTTTCTAACTCTACCTAGTAGAAAAAACGTGTCTGTGGGAAAGACATATGTTTCCAAAGGAAAATTATTTTAGTCCTGAAATGATTCCTTGTGTATTCAAGTCTACTAAAAGTACTAGTTTATGTGTTCCCAAAAAGTTCAGAAAACCTAGTTTGTTTAAGAGCTGGCTTTCTCATTGTCCAGTTAGTGAGTTTGCAACAGTCCTCATCTAATCACATGAAGATTTCTCAAAGGCCTTCTGTCAATATCAAGACCACCATTAACCTCTGAACCCATCTGTGTCCCAGCACATCAAAGTTCTTGCTTTCTTGAAGGAGTGATGCATCTCATTCTAAAACTGATCAGAAATTTGCCTCTAAGTGCTTCTTTTTTCTCCAATAAGTATGAAGAAAACCACAATAAATAGCCGAAATGCAGGCATCTGCGTAGCAAACAATTAAATTTACATGAAATGAAATCTCGCCCGAAGGGTCTACAATTAAAGTGCAATTATATTCCCAAGTTACATGAAGAGGATCCCACCCACTGTCTTTAAACTACTGTTGCTATTATCTATTTGCAGTGAGCTAAAACAAGCAGATTTGGATCAGGGTTGACATCTCATGATGCTCTGTCTCATACAACCACTGTTTCAAAGCATGAGACTTTCTGTTTGAATATGAATGGGTATGGAAGGGACAAAGAAAAAAATACAACAGCAACATGATGTGCCTACAGACATTAACTAATAATTGGTGTATTAATTAAAAGTAACAATTGATATTCTATAAATTATATTATATATATAATGCATCATATATATTATATATTATATATTCTATATTATATATTCTATATTATATATTATATATTACATACTACATATTGTATATTATATATTATATATCATCTATTATATATTATATATCATCTATTATATATTTATAGAAAATATATTGTTATATATCACTATATATTTCTATAAATATATATATAATTATATAGAAACATATCTATATAATACATAATTATACATATTATTTCATATTTTGAATAATTAAAATTATAAATCCATAAATTCAGAGATACTCACAATCTCCACTGAGTCTTATCTGGACAAGATATACTTCCAGCATGACAGAAAAATTAATTGAAGTAACCTTTGGGGGAGGAACATACAAACTTTACACAAGAAAAGAGGTGAGAACATTAATGATGAAGAGTACAAGAAACATTTTGCAAAAAAAATAAATATATTGCTTAAAATTGATTCAAAATCCTTCCTTAATATTTTTTTTTTATTTTCTTCCTTGCTTGCTTTTCTTATTTCTGGTCTCAAATAATAAGATTATTTGAAATCTTATCTCTTTTTGTCACAATATATTGTGGTAAAACAGTCTTTGTTATTTACACATAAACCAGTAATAGTAATCAAAGTTTGCAGTTTAAAGCTATATAAAATCAGTATTCCTGTAACTGCAAAATGTCTTGAATTGTACCTGTGCATTTGTCCTCTCTCCTACCTACTGGTTATGGAGAGGGAAAAGTGGAGTGGCCCAGTGGTGATGAAATGCTCCTTGCTGTTTGTTCTTACAATACCTATTGCAATTTTAAAAACCATGAATGGAAACAATAACAAAGGAACAAGAAAACAGACTTCCAAACAGGAAGGGATGAAAGCAGTACGTATTACAGATTGACCAAAGAAGAGGAGGCCCCCCAAGCAGCCTTCTGGGTGTGCTGCAAAAAAAAACCTATCAGGAAATATGTGATAGCATGTGGAAGAGTGGATGATAAAAACTTTCAAACATAAAATCTGCAAGGGGTGAGATACTAAAATCTGCTGGATGATACTGCTGAGATGCAGAAACCATGATCCAAACAGACCATGTTTGGAAAAGCACTGGATGTACCTTACAATCTTCTAAGCTCTTTTAAATAATATACTTGTGTGGTTTTCATTTAGCCCCCTTTGTTTCTTCCAAATGATGATTATTTCCTAAGCATAAACAAAGTGTGCAAAAGTATTATGTGCATTCAAAGACGTTACTAAGTGTTGTACATGAAGAAATCTGTCTTCAATTATATTTGAAGCAATTACTTTTGTTTACAGTAAGCTACCATGAACAAGGATGTCCCTCAGGAAAAAGGATTTGAGGAGGACATAGGAAGAAAAACAATGAAAACAATGTTAGTTTTGAAGTTTTTTCTAAGGAGAGAAAAAAGAGTCATGTACAAAGTCTGTGTAACAAAAGAAATTTTTGCTCACCAAAAAGAGTTTGATGACAGGAAACAGGAGGAAAATAGTTGACATCCAAGGGATTTTAAGAATTAAAAAACGGAAAATGTCTACGGATTTTAAGGTAGCTTTGCCTAACACATTTGTGGGGTTTTGTTCTTCAGTGGGTATGTTTTTCTTAGGTAGCTGATAAAGAACTAATTGCTTCCATGTTCAGCAATGCTTTGGCTTTAGCTTAATTTCTTGATTTCTTGAATGCAAGGGAAAAAGGGATCTTGTTGACAGTCACACTTTTCCTTTTTTTTTTTTTTTTTTTTTTAGGTAAAAGTCTTGCTGCAGCTACATGTAAAGAGCAGGAGTTTTTGAACTGCACTTGTTTGCTTCCACAATGAACTGTAGAGGAGGAGCAACCCACAGCAAAACTTGTGTGTCTGTGCCATGCTGGGGGAGCAGAGGTGCTGGGACATGAACCAGGCTGGGGCAGGGAGCTAGATTGCAGCACTAATTGTGACCTCAGATCCCTGAGCAAATTAGCCTCTGGAGAGAACTGAAATGTGTGGTCTAAAAACAAGTGAGCAATGCTGCAGCCTGGGACCAGACTGACACCCCTTAGACACAAAGGAGGGGATCTCTGCAGGCTGTATGATGGCAGCAGTGCTTTCCCCCAGATACCCAGCATGATCCCCCAGGCCTCCCCAGCAGACATGGCTGTGTGGGCTGTGTAAAACCAGGCTTCCAGGCTTCTGGAATAGCACTAGGTGATATGCAGCCTTAAAACAATCACTACAGACCAGCTCAGACACAGGAGCCTCTGTCCTTATCAAGGAACTCAGAACAGCCCAATGACATCCTGGCACATCTGAGACACAGCTTGTGATATATCTTGAGTATATAACACCTGAATATCAAACTTTTCAAGCTCTAAAATCAATCCTTAAAATTATAATACATGGGCTTATTCTGCCCATATAACTCACAGGAATAATTTTTGACTTGGCCCACCCAGCCATCCACAATAAAATTATTATAATTCTGTTGGATCTGTGTACACCAAATTTGCCTCGGGACAAACCAGTTTTCTTAGGGTGTTTTTTTGTTTGCTAATGGTATTTCATGAACATTGGGATGTAAGGATGTGACCAGAGTCTCAGGGCTTCCTCCCTGCCTCTATGTAGTGACAGACCCTGAAAAGACAGAATCAGACCACTAATATAGAGTCTGTCTGTAATAGCAGCATAAAAAAAAATTCTTAAGAAAGTAGAAGACATAGTACCTTGTTTCATGCAAACATATTATAGTGTGAATGGGAATTGATATCTTTGAGTCCTACAGAAAGATCTTGCAATTTTAAAACCAAAGTGAAATACAATTTTAATACACTTTAAAATGTATAGTGAACAACAAGAAGCTTTCCCTTATCAAAATCCTTCTATATTGCCTTTCTGCTTTTGTTTCTCTAGTCACAGGAAATACCTGTGTGTGTGTTTTCAACACCTAAATCCACTTTCTTGCCTTAATTATGAAATCAGAAGTTAGGAAAATAATATTCTTTGTGCTTTGCAGGTTTCCCCTATGAGGAATGCAGGTTACTCCAGTATGTTTGTTTAAGTGCCATGCTTACAACTGCAGCTCCCACATGTGACTTGCTAGCTCAGTTTTCATTGCCCCTGGCTCTCTTTTATTATTTACCTTGTTTCTGAAGCTCCTTGTGAGGAGAAAAGAAGCCATTACTGAAAAATACAGTAAAATGTAGTTTACACCCTGAAAAGAAGGCTGAATAATTCCTTGACTGAATCATAGACTCATTTATGTTGGAAGAGACCTTTAAGATCATTGAGTCCAACCATCGAGCACTTCAACCTGTTGCCCCAGTATCCCTGAATGGGTCCCATCTGGCTCCATGGGCTTTTGTGAGTCCAAGTGGTGTACCAGGCCACCAATCATTTATTTCCCTTTGGATTATGAGGATTTCCTTTTGCTCCCCATATCTGTTTTCTAGGTCAGAGGGCCTGGTACTCCAACAACTGCTCTTGCTATTAAAGGCTGAGGCAAAGACATTATATACCTCAGACTTATTTCATCCTTCATAGTTATGAACAAGCAATAAAGGATGGAGTTTTTCTTTGGCCCTCCTTTTGTTGTGAAAGTGTTTATAGAAATTTTTTTACTGTGTTTTACATCTTTAGCCAGAAAAAGTTCTAGTTGAGTTTTGGCTCTTCAAATTTTCCTCCTGAAAAACTTCACAAAATCCTTATAGTCCTCCTGAGTTCACTGTCCCTTCTACCAAAGGTCATAAACACCTGGGGTTTTTTTACTGAGTTCTAGCCAAATTCTCTGTTCAATCAGGTCAGTCTTCTTCCCCACTGGTTCATCTTTTGGCACATTGGGTCAGCCTGCCCCTACTCCATTAAGATTTCTTTCTTGAAGAATGTACAGTCTTCCTGGATTCCTTTGCTCTTCAGGATTGTTCCCCAAGGGACTCAGCCAGTCTCCTAAACAGACTAAACTTGCCCCCTGGGAATCCAAAATGGTAGCAGTTTTTCTGGAACTCATCCTTGCTTCTCTGGAATTAAGCACTCTTATTGTTTCATGATCGCTGTGCCCAAGATGACCTCCAATCATCACATCAATCACAAGTCCTTCTCTGTTTGTGAATCCCAGATAGTGGAACACCTCCTCAGCTGGCTGAGTCACAAAACTGACCTGAATGTCTCCTCATGACTGTGGCCAGGTCTGTAAGGAGCCAAACAGGCTCATGGACCATCCTACACCAGGAACAGAACAGAGGCAGAAGAGGAAAGCAAGGGAGGAGATGAGAAAGAAGTGTGGTGAGCAGGAAAGCAGCTGAGGCATTTGAACCTGTCTGTAGAGGGATTATGAAATGAATCTTTAGCCCTGGACAGAATCCAAAACTACTGAAGAACCTGAGACATGACTGGGGGTAGGAATGCAAATCTGTCTTTCAGCTACTGATATGATGTGAGGGGACATCTGCCAGCTCAGGAGGGAGTCCAAAGCCTAGGAAGATAATCAAAGCAGGAATAAAATCTTATTCAGGAATCCATTTTAAGTTAACACTTTCCACTGCAGCTACATTTTAGAGCAAAATCTGTCTTTTGCACATTTCAATTTGCAGATACCCTCCCTTAACCCCCTTTACAGCATACTAAGTAAAGTAGGCAGGTGGAGCCTTTTCAGCTAATGATAGACCAAAATCATCTTCTAGCAACTGGTGGTGCCTAGCAGATGCCTGCAGATGCCTAATTAACATTCATGAAGCACTTGAATCCCTCAGATGAAGGCAGTATACAGTAAAAGCATAAATTATTATTATGGGTACTAACTGCTTCAGAAAACAATTGTGACTATTCTAAAAAAAAAAATGGTTTATTATTCCTTTTGCTAAGAAAGAATTGAGTAAAGACCAACTAAAAAAGCTTTTTTTTCCCTACACAATAATTATTTTACTGCCATGTAAATAGCAACAAATAAATATTAAAAGCTTCTCAGGTGTTTCAGGAGTTTGGATTTCTAACAAAATTTAAGATTCCAGCTAAATCTGACAGAAAGCTGGACAATCAACAATCATTAATGTGATTGAAATTTTAAAGCAGTCTACTCAATCATGCTACAGAGCTGCTAAGAGCATTCTGTGTCCTTTCCTTGTCCCTGACCCTTAAGCTGCTTTGCATCTGGATATTTAAATACTTTGCACAGCTGTGTCTTGCAGACTTCTCCTTCTCCATCTGCTTGTTTGTTTTCCTGGTTTTATTTTTCAGGCTGCTATTTTGTATAAGCAAAATTATCCTTTTATGCCTCCTCTGCCTCTGTTATTTCTTCTAGATATTGTAAACTACAGCATCTGTGGTTCTTCTCCTGTTATAGATTTATATTCTTCTAGGTAGTGTGGGATAAAGATAAGAAGCCTGAGTTGAACATGAGGCTGATGCCCTAGTCTGACACATAAATCCCCAAAGCTTTTTATTTCTGAAATTTTATATGGAGTATCCCCTCAGTGTATAAATGACTTTTTTTGATTCTTTACAAGTATGTATCACAGGTCAATAGAAAAAATAGACAAGCCACTGGGCATTTGACAGAACACAGTAACCCTCTATATGAGCAAGAGTGGCACTTTTTTTTTTTTGTCATTCAGATAATCTGAATACTCTGACAGTAAATATTACTAAAAAAGAGTTCATGACCTAAGAAGAGTAGGGATTCAGATTTGGTTTTTTAAAGCATTTCTTTGGGTCAGCATGTTTGCAGAATGAAAGGATGTTTCCTGACCTTTTTATCTCTGAAGGGTGGGAAGTAGCTCTAGGTTCAGGCATTTATCTCATATCCTAGAAACAAATTGAGCCAAGTTTTCAAGTTCTATCTCCCAGTTATTTCTGGATTACTGAGCTTTGCTTACTCTGAACTGTTTCATAAAGGAAGTTAAAAATTAATGCTGCTGCTTAGCTATATACTTAAATATGAGCTCAGCTTTCAGCACAAACAGATGTTCTTTGCTTAGTTGGGATGGTCTGGAAAAAAAAACAATTACAAAATTGTTTTGATGTGTTCAATTCTAGGAATCTGTTAATGGCTTATGAACAGAACACACTGATGACTCTGTTAGATCAGGACTGTGGCTTTTTCACCAGATATCAGAGGAGGATATAATGGGACAAAAGGTGGGGGGGGGGTCACATACTAAAAACCCACGTGGATTATAATATCCTACAGCTTTTTTATGCATTAGTGCATCCCTGATTATCTGTTTCCTGTGTTATCCATACCAAACCCTATCAATGTGAAAAAAATTGCAAGATCAGAATCTTTCCTGCTTAAAGAAATCACTCAGATTACCTTAAAAATTTCATTTGTCAGGTTTTGTAATAGCTGTTATATCCTGCTGAATTACTGTGAAATATAAAGAGCAGGGTAGCAAAACATGCCCTACTGAACAGAAATTTAGGAAACATGAATCACTGAAATATAATTCTGAATGACCTTGGGGAGAGGGAGTGGAAAGGAGGTAAGGTCAAATTTATAAGAGTAACTTCTGATCATGAGCTTTGCTCTTGGAAGCAGTTTACATTCAGTTCATGGGTGGTGCACTTCCAACTCTCTTTTGCTTCATGGAAGTTTTAGAAATGTCTGGAATTTTTGTATGAGCCTTACAGAGATATCTAATCATATCCAGGTAAATTCTCCTTAGTTCTATAAATAATAACCACACATCATCTTGAAAAAAACACAAAGCTTAGGAACATGAAGAGCTAGGTCCAATTCTTACCCATTTAGGTTTTGAGCCCTACTTCAACTGTGAAAGGAGGAAATGTAATAAACTTGCTGAATGCCCTAAGGACTGAGGCACCTGAAAGATTTTCAGCAAGTGTCAATAGCAGCCCTGAATATGACTCTTTTTATGTTACCTGCTAGTTTGTCAGTTATTCTGAAATGCACTGATTTATGTACCCATAACAAGGGACTTTAGGAACTCTGTTTTATTACTAGAGGCTATAGATGCATAAGACAGACAATGTCAGCTTTAGGGCTCCTGATACTGGTTCAAAACATGAAAGCCATATGATTGATTCTATATTATTTCATTCAGCTGAATTTAATTTCATTCACTTTTTTTTTTTCCCCCCTCAGAAATAACTGAAGGGTTGAATTTGTACAAATATTTTTCATTGGAGTAGGTATTGTTCATCATCACCATTTCATCTTGATATCAGAGCTGATATTATATGTTCTCCTGTCTTTGGAAAAATGCATGATGCCAAAACAAACTCTGTTCCTGTGTAGTCTGGCTAATAGGATAGAAGTAGAGTCATCTGATCACAGACAAGTGAATCACATTTGTTCCATGCAGGATTGATTTTGCTATTGATCACAAACAAAGACAGTATTTGTGACAGTATGATTGAAGTGAAACTTGCCTCACTTGAAGGAGGACTATATGAACAGTCTTTTATACTATCTCTTGATATAACATCTTTTGTCCAAATTAGTATTGATAAGAGCAAGTCTCAGGTGTGGAGAAATCTTTCCTGGCCCAACTGAAATACCCTCTCCTTCAAGGCTGCAGCTGCGAGTTTCCTCCACCCAAACGACCAAGGCATACATTTAACCTCAAAATGAAAAAGGAAATAGTTTCATACCTGACAAGGGGGTAGTTTTTCATTTCCCCCACCCAAATACCACATGGGAAATTTGTTAGGTGGGTAGAGCTAATACACACCCAAAAAAACCCCATGGTTCCTCTAGTAGCCAAAACATCTTACATTGTGTTTACACCATGTCCT